AAATGAATATATATCTCGCTTCTTACTAACTCGAATAATTCGAAATTAAATAAACACTAACTCAAGCAAGTCGAAATAAAATAAGCACATACTTCTCAATCAACTATCCCGAACAAGTCGAAGATAGCATAAAAATCGTTCCTAAATCCGTCCATCGGCCGAACAGTGTCGCACCCCCACCGACTCGCTATTATTACAGCTGCATAAGATCAGTGAAGAGATCGCGCGCGTTCACCGTGATTCGTTAACAAGGAACGATCGCTCGAGATGACCGATAGGGGATGCTACCCCGTTCGTCTCGTATCCGTCAAATCGTTGGCCGCAGAGCGGTTAGCAGGTTGGCTCGTTTGGTTAATCCATTATTCAACGGTCGGCTCCGGGCTCCCGCGCCTCCGTGCTCTCGCGATTCGCGCGCAAGATGTGACACGGTCTCACCGTGGAGACGTACTAATTCGTCGGGAACGGCGGCGACTGTGTTTAATGTGACGGCTGCTGATTCCGGCAGCGACGGGCAGATTCGGTTGGCAGCGGAGCAGCGGCCCATTAATTTTGCGGATTGCAGCGGACCGTGGAACAACCGCGAAGACGTTCCACGATCTGCTCGACCGCGCGCGCTGTGTACGCCGTACACAGCCTATTATTACCTATATTACTATATTATCTAGAGGTTGTGTGATCAGTGGTTTGCGACTCGGAGCCGGCCGCGGCGTTGTCGTTCGAGATGCCGCGCGTTATCATCGTTATTCCCGTCGGATTTCGTCTGGCATTTTTGCGATCGGTAGAACGATTGGGAGGCTTTTATTTGATGGGAAGAAATGATGCTTGGTACGAATGATTAATATTAAATTGTCTCGTGCGTCCAATTTTTTTTCTTTTTTGGATTAGGCGTCTCCGTTTAGAGGATGAAGCTACGGGAATTTAATCCAAGAGAAATAATTGAACATAGGAATCGACTTATCGAGACGATAATGAGTCATTAATTCTCATTATAGTCGGTCTATAATGCTAAATAAATATTGACGTTGTAGACAAATTATTCTTTAATATAACTTAATTTAATTGAACTCAATTTAATGCAATTTAATTTAATTTAATGTCATCAAATTTATAATGTAACCTAATTTAATTTAATTTATATGATTTAATTTAATTTATTCACACGTACGGGTGGACACTCATTTTAGTAATACAATAATAATGATGTGATAATAACTTTAATACAATAATATAGCAGCGACGCAATGACGGATAAAATGCAAAAGATTGAAAGCGAGAAAAAGAAAGCTCGAATATAAAAGCTCAGGGAGAATGAAAAGAAAATATATGTGTATATATATTTGAAATGTAATTCGATTATGCGAACGGATAATGAAGTCGGTCGAGAAGAGAGCGTTAAATTTTCAATGTAGGAAAGCGGCTACGGAAAAGATAACGCACGTTTTCTCATCTCACCGAATTCACCGTCGCACGGTACGTATTTTAATTGATGTTTATTTTAATTAATTCATCATTGACACAGGATCAACGCGAATCTCGCGTTCTACCGATCGCAGCGACGCGCCAGAGGAACCATAAGACGCAAGCGAATTCATCATCGCTGTCTATCAATCGAAGGCTGACTAAAAAAATTCTGAAAGCCGTTCCGCTCGAACGCAACGACGCGACGGTTGTTCGCTTCTGAAAAGATGACCATGACTCATGTATATGCAGTTCATGTTTATAGCGTTTTCGACAATTCATGTAGAAAAATGTATGAACGAACGCGCGCGAGTCGCCTGGCCTGGCGTCTTAAAAAAAAGTCGACTAAAACGGAGTCGTTCTATGTCTCTGCTCGTCGAACGAAAACGTTATTTAATTGATTGGTATAATTTATATACAAGCCAGCCGGCTCGCGCTGAAGAACGTTGTCTACGGCTATGATCGAAAAAACTTCTGTGGGAAAAATATATGTGTGGCTATATTCATGTGACAAAAAGAGTATGTACAGAAATGAGACAGAACGAAAAAAGATATAGAAATATAGTATTACAGATACAGTACGTATTTTGGGTCGAAATACTGTGTTGTTCTCGGGTTTCAAGAAAACGCATGCACTTTCGAACATTTCCATTACATATACGTGTTCAATGTGTATCTAATATGTATATACATATATACATGCATATATAATGATATATATATATAATAATATATTGTATAATAATCATTATATGTAATAATATAATTATAATAATTATTATACATCTATATAATCTATAATATAATTATAATAATATTATTATACATCTATATAATCTATAATATAATTATAATAATTATTATATATCTACATAATCTATATGTGTAATCTATAATATAATTATAATAATAATTATATTATATTATTATATATTATATTATATTATATATATATATATATATATATAATAATATGTATCGAATTGTAAATATATATGCATGTATACCTGTACGTGTGTATGTACGCATGTAGTATGTCTGCGTGTGTCTGACTATATATATATATATAGACTATATTTCGTGTGACATGTATGCGTGTGTGTGTTTGAGCGTGTTGGTGTATTGAAAATGCGCATTAATATACGAAGCAATACTGGGATAATGTTTACGTACCCTGGCCGATTAGAATCTACAACTCGCAATCAGAAATACTTGATGCGAAAAAGAAAGAGAACGTACGTAATTCGATTTACGCATCGACGACATAACATTTAGCCGCCGCAGATCTCTGAAACATTCTCAAAACTTTAATTCCGCTCTTACTAGCCATCTACGAGGCTCTATCCCAACGACAGGTTTAACCTCCGCGTTTTAACGTCGCGTCGCCGAGTTTTATTTTTCATTATTATTAGTATTATTGTTATTATTATTATTTCTGTTTTAACGTTGTATTTATTGGCTCGTTTTCCGATTTCTTCGTCCGCTCGAAGAATCGTTTACTCGTCGGATTTCGCGTCGCGAACACGACACGATAGCGCGGCCAGCAATTAAACCGCGGATTTTATGCAATTATCTAAATGAATAGGTCGACTCTGAAGTAGCAAAAGAATTGAAACGATACGAGGACATTGCTGTATCGCTGTCGACTAGTTCGAAATAAATATTAAGGAAATAAATGAACGTCCACGTAGAGCTTCTGCATCGACAATTTTTATTTCTACAAGATCTTCGATGATCTTTATTCTCATCTTATAGAAAAATTCGTATTTTGCATAAAGATCCGCAGTCTACATGCCGCAGCTAATTTGTAAAACGACCGACGGCGTAAAGTATCGACGAGCCGCATTCGAATAGGAGATTCATAGCTCGACGATGTAACGTACGCGACCCGGCAACGCGCGTCTGCATCACGAACGCATCGGATTACGCGGACGAATTGCGTGTACCACGCGAATTAGCTCGATTCTGCTGGCCTCGAATTACCCGCTACGCAAAAATACAGCCGAAATTTAACTCGGCGCACGCGTTCAATTGCTCGGCCGTTCACCGAAATTCACGCGAAGTTCGAACGCGTCGTTATTATTCGCATTATTCGAATTATTGGAATTATTTGAGTTTTATGAATTTTTCGAGTGATTTGAATTATTTGAATTATTCGAATTATTGGCATTCTTCGAATTATTTGAATGATTCGAATTATTGGCATTCTTCGAATTATTTGAATTATTCGAATTATGAGTATTATACGAATTATTGGAGTGAATCAAATAATTGGAATTATTAGAATTATTCGAATGATTGGCATTCTTCGAATTATTTGAATTATTCGAATTATTGGAGTGATTCAAATAATTGGAATTATTCGAATTATTGGCATTCTTCGAATTATTTGAATTATTCGAATTATTGATATTCCTCGAATTATTAGAATTAGTCGAATTACTGGAATGATTCAAATTATTGGAATTATTCTAATAAAGAATTATTCGACTAATTCGAGTAAAGAATTTGTCGACTAAAGAATTATTCGACTAATTCGAGTGAAGAATTTGTCGACTAAAGAATTACTCGACTAATTCGAGTGAAGAATTCGTCGACTAAAGAATTATTCGACTAATTCAAAGCATTCCAAGTATCCGAATTATCCAAATATACAATGATTCGAATTACTCGAGGCATTCCAAGTATTCGAATCGTTCATATAAAGAATTTCGCGAATAGAGTATCATTCGAGTAAAATAATCGAACAAAAAATACGCGACGCGCGTTGCAACGTGTTCGAAGTTCGCGACGTCCGGTCCCGCCGCGCGAAACGAGAACGTACGGCGCGAAGGCGCCGTTTGAAAAGTCGTTCATCAAATTGCGTTTCGCTTGTTTATTTTTTGTTGTTGTCGACGGACGATCTGTAACAGGCCGAAACACGAAAATCATATCGAAAAACTGTTACACGGTTGACACGTTGTTTTCTACGCGCGAATTTCAACGGCTACGCAAATATTTGGCCGCGTCGGTTCCGGGGCACAACAAAATCGAGCAGCTCCAGTGATACACGGCGTATAAAAAACGGCGGGGCGCGGTAATTTTAAAAACGGTCGGTTTCCGTCGAATATACGTATATAGTATCTTTCTCTCGAAAACGGACCGGTGTCGACGAGCGCGCGCGCGCCCGAAAACTTTCGCGATTACGGTGACCGTTTTTCGCGGATTTCGCGGTTCGTTGAAATTCTCGCCGGAAAGCACTTTAGTAGACGCGATCGAGAGAGAGTTCGTTTTCGAGTTCATCGCGGAAAAGAACGATGTTCGCGTCGCGGCTTTTCGTGAATTAAAGCGAGCCCGGCGTTACTCGATCGTTCCGATTTTTAGCCGCGCTTGAAATCGATATTCTCGGTTATTTCGTTCTTTTGTTGTTTTTTTTTGTTTATTTAACGGCGAAACGGTTGTTCGGCGATTTAATGTCGGATCGTTGTTCCGCGTTTATTCGCGATCGTCGATTTACCACGTGGAATCGTGTACCTTGGAAGATCGTAGCAAGATCGAGTTACCTGTTGTACATGAGGATGTCCGGCTTCCAGAGCTTGTTCGGGGTGATTCGCAGATCCTTCACGCCGCCATAATCGGACTCGTTCCACTGCAGATTGTAGTCCGTCCACTCCTGGAACAGAAAGCGAGCGTTTTGTCAGCTTTGATAGTTCCGAGAAAGTTCCTTTTTGTTTCTTTCGATTCATCTTAAACGGTACACAGGATGTCCCCAAAATGTCTCGCAATCCGGAAATGAGGGTTCCTCAGGCCATTTGGAATAACTTTTTCCTTTGCGAAAATGCAATCCGCGGCTTCGTTTACGAGTTATTAGCGATAAACGGTGGACCAATGAGAGGCGGCGAGATCAGCTGACTCGTGGCGGCCGAGCCAATCAGCGGAACTGGGCCTCGACCGCTCGTTGGCTGGGCCGCCTCGCGAGCGCTCGCCTCTTATTGGTCGGCGTTTTTCGTTAATAACTCGTAAACGAAGCCTCGGATCGCATTTTCGCTAAGGAAAAAGTTGTTACAAATGACCTCAGGAACCTCCTCGCATTGCAAAACATTTCTGGGGCACGTAATGTTAACGATTAATCGATTAATAATTACGATCGCTATGATATACTTTTCATAATCAAACACAAAAGTATGAAAATCACCAAATTACAAACGTGTAAAAATGTCAAAATTACAAAAACATGAAAATCGAAAAATGTCAAAAGTATAAAAATCAAAAAATCACAGAAATAGAAAAATTACAAATTTATAAAAGTATAAAAATCAATTACAAAGGTACAAAAGTATAAAAATCAATTACAAAATGATAAAATGATCGATGGCTGTTCAATTCCGCGGAACAATTAGTTTCGCGCGAACTCGACAACGCCGCGGTTATTCCTTCGATTAGGTTGTACAACTTGTGCCGTTATTTATCGCCAGACCAAGTTTTATCACCCTACTGCTCGGCGTTCTTATGCGAGCACAGTTTTAGTACGGTCTTGCCATTAGTCGACGTCGCAAGTGGCGCACAAGAACGATTACAATGTTACGTTATCCTTTTCTTGCAAATCTCCTGGGACGAGCAAGAGACTAACTTTTCCGGTAAATATTAATTGTCTATGCTCTCTCTTTTTTTTTTTTAAGGGGGAAACTTGCTACTGTTGGGACGCAATTGGTCGGGACGATGAAAGAAATTCAGAAAATAAAATTCAAAAAAATGTTGAAGAGTGTATACGTGCTGAAATATATTTCATATATTTTATGTTATATTATAATATATATTATATTATATTATATTATTATATATTATATTATATTATATTATATTATATTATATTATATTATATTAT